AAGGGGCACGCGGGGAAGTCCGCGCGCCTCGCCCCTCCGCGTGTCGGGATCCGAGCCCGGGGGCTCTGCGGGAGAAGAGGGGACACTGGGTTAGGGCGCGGGCGCCGAGGACCCGCCAGGACGCCGCGTTCGCACGGCGCGCACCCGCCCCGCTCTTAGCCCTCTCCGGCTTGCAGAGTAGCGGGCGCATCGCTGTGGCTTTGTGAGGACAGGCGGGCGGTGACCTCGGGCGCAGACCAGGGAGTCCTCGGCCGCCTGCTTCCGGGAGGTTACCGTTCAATGCATCTGGACGGGACCGGGCCAGTCCTCCCGCGGGTCTAGGGACCTGCCTCCGTTCGAGGACACCTGCGGCTCCCTGCGACCTTCTAGGCGTCGTCAGTCTTGATGGTCCTCAAGGCCCAGGAGAGGGCCTGTCCCTGACGGAGGGCGGCGCCCCCCTTCCCCACTACCTCACGCCCTGCAGCCTTGTTTCATCGACCCTGGTTATTAGGAGACCCAAGCAGAGCAAAGGTCGTCCCGCAACATCCACTGAGTCCTGGCGCCGATTCTGGCCTGTGCTGGGCCAGCTCCTGCTCCTGTCCTGTCCTGCCCTCCCGTTTGTTCAGTGGGCATGAATCTGAACACGAGGCTGCCGGATGTAACACGGCCAGAGTGTTATCTACTGGGCCGCTCCGCTCCCTGCCCTGCTCCTTCTGTCACCAAAGGGCACGTTGACCTTTTCCTGGAGTAGCTGCCCTTCACCAGCTGGCTTCCACAGGCTGGGCAGCGCTAAGGACTGACGCGGCTAGCACGTTCCGCTTGAGCTCAGGGCCCTGTAGTTTTGTTGTTTTATACCTGGGGAGTTAGATGTGTGATGTGAGATGGGGACTGGATCCAGGCATGAGTTCTCAGTAAGCTGCTCTTCCTTCTCTGTTAGTACCTTCAGGGTACATTCCTGATTGCTAGCCCGGAGGGGCAGACACTAGGTCACATGCTTTAAGGAATACAGTGCATACATACAAGGGGCGGCAAAAGGTTGGGAGACATTAAATTACCAGTTTATTTTGGTACAGAAACATCTTGCAATCCATGCATTGGTTTTTCAGGATAGGCCCCATGACCTTTTTGAAAAACCCTCTGATATATTCCGTGTTTTCTCTGAGTTCACGCAAAATCCCAGCTCTGATCCACTTTCTCCTGGTGCTGTTATTAATCTCTCAAGACAACCTTTTTTCCTTTGAAAAATTTTAGTTTTTGAGAGCACTTCTCATTTGTCTCCATTTCCTGATAATACACTGTAAACTATAGGAAATAATTTGGTTGGATTTGCATAATGGGCTCAACACTGTGCAAAGTGGAAGGCTGTTTGGAAGCCAAGCCGGGATCCACACCTGTGGCTGGCCATCTGGCTTCCAGCCTGCGGGGCACTCGGTTTACTCCTGTGCCACATGGCTGGGCCTCATTTTTTGACTGAAGTACTAATCTCAAGTAATTATCTACTGTTTTCCTTACAAAGGATATGTGGTTAATATTTAATCTCAATTCTTTTGTTGTTATCACAGCATATACCTAAGTGTCAGATAAATGATAAACTGGGTGAAGTTGCCACCCATTCTTAATAGCACAATATTATTCCATCATTTTTGGATTCCACTATTAAAAAAGACTGATCCCCAATCATCGTCTTTTCATTGTAGGAACTTCTGCCTAGAAAATGTGGAAGATTTTTCTCTGTGGCTTTGTAATTCAGGAATTTTATTAGAATTTTTCCAGATGTATCTTTTCTCATCAAAATTGATCTTTTCAGTCTACAATTTGAGTTTTCTTCTAGCTCAAACTGTCCAATTTTCAGTTACATAATTATTGTCTTTCCTTCTAATTCTCTCTCTGGATCTCTGATTATTCGTGTGAGCTTTCCTATGTTTGATTTCCACATGTCTCTAATTTTCCCTCCTTTCTGTCTCTATAATCTTTTGGCTCTGTGGCTTGAGGCATTTCATCTACATGATATTCCAGATCACAATTTATTGGATAGTGATGATTTTCTCCTTCAGATCACCCAGTGAAATTTGGAAAAATCAACTAATTTTAATTCCATATGTGTCACTGTTTCAGTTTCCTTGTGTTCCAAATTTCATCCTAGTTTTGTCTCCTTCAGGGGTCTGTTCTTGTGTAAGAGTATTTGTTGTGTTCCTCCTCCCTCTCCCTCCCTCCTCCCTCCTCCTCCCTCCTCCTCCCAACCCCTTCCTCCCACCATCGCTGCTAGGCTCCCCCAGTGAGGACTACTTACTCCTTTACTACCCTGCCTACTGGGACCCGTTGGCTGGGCATCTGATATGACACATGGGTCATATGGAAGGGGCAGCTTCCCTGGAATCATACAGAAAGCTACAGGCAGACGGACCCCAACAAAGTGCCTGGAGAGTCTCTAGTCCTCCCTCCACGAGTGGTATGGTCACCAGGAGCCGTGTGGACTTCCTCCTTTAGTCCTGAGTGCTCTGCCAGCCACGCTTCCCCTAGGACCCATGGACTTCACTGCCCACCCTACCAGTCTGCTATGTTTTCAGCCCTCAGGGCAAAGTCCCCACCAAAGTCCCCACCACAACTCTCCTATTCATATCCCTCAGCTTCTTCCTGCCTGCTGGGCTGGACTCAGGGCTCCTTAGTTCAGGAGCACAAGTGGGTTGAGTTGGGAGTGGAGGCAAACCACCACTTCTCAGAACTGAATCCACGCACAGTTAGCATCAGAATTAATAGAACACTGCTTAGAAAGACAAAGAGTGTAAACGTCTTTCTGAAATTCCATCATTAAGGACCCTTCCTTTTGACTCAAAGCTTTTCTTGTCATTAAAGCTAGAGAAGAGGGGCCAGTGGCACCACGGTAACACAACTGACCCACTGGGAAGATCTTGCTTTCACAGCCTGGGGCATCACTGTGCATGCTGAGCACACGTGCAAGTGCCTGTGGTCCAGGCTCATTGAGGCTGGAGCGGATCAGGGAGAAGAAACCCTGCTGGGCTGCCTCTGTCTTCCTCTCTCTCATGGAAGAAATGAATGGATACACTTTTTTAAAAGTAGAAAAAGGTAGGAAGCCATAGGAGAATGCTTGGTGCATTATTAGTGACTGACACATCAGGATGGGAGTGAGTGACATCTCGAGAACACCGGCATATCAACAGGAAGCAGGAGGAGAGCACACAGGATCCCCTGGGCAACGAGGGGACTGAAAAGTGGTTTTTCAGTGGCCACAGGGTGGGCTGAGGGTGAAGTTCACTTCTGTTGCGGCTTGGAAAAGAACTTCAAGTCACTTTAAATAAAATACAAACTTAATCGTTTTATCTTTTAGGATTGTTCTATGGTGGGCCAGCAGGTGGTGTATAGGTTAAGGTGCTGGATCCTACATGCTGGTGGAGCAGTTCGAGTCCTGGACTCAACAGCTTGAAAATCATGCCAGGATGATGGACATGAGTGCCCAAAATCCCACGGGGAGAGTGGAGTAGAAGGGACTGAGGCATGGCCATCCCCCTGGAGGGTGCTTTCTCACCTTCCCTCCGTCTCTCTCTGGTGAGTGCATGCATCCTATAGAAAAAACGAAAACAAAATCTTGTTCTAGGTAAGAAATTTAAAAAACACAACCAAATATCTAACATGTTGCCTGGGACACAAACTCTCCACTGTCTCAGAGGCTCGGTAGTGCTGCTTTTCTGTGGTGTAAGATGTGTGCATTCCAACCTGTGTGAGAGCGTTTGACCTTGTGAGGAACAAGCACTTCTAAGAAAAGGTCTGAAATGAAAAGGCAGTTGCGAAGATTAGAAGTGTGTGTGGGAAGAGCTCTAAGCTACCCACAATAAGAAGGGTTTCCAACAGGTGTGGGCATTAAGCATGGGAGCAATTAGAAGAGACATTTCCAAGATTCTCTGAGGCTCTCGTCAGAAACTAAAAATCAAGAAACAAAAGTGAATGATTCATGGATTTCAGGAAGCAATGAAGAGCACCCTTCTCTCCCTGGTATAATTATAAGGGTAATCCAAGATGCATATTGGCTGTTTAAAACAGCAGCAACAATAATACCTTCTGGAAAATAAAGCAAAATACACGACAATAGCAAAAGGGTGAGAGAGGACATGAAGTGGAAATAAAATGTGCTAAGGTCTTCAAGTGATTTGCAAAGTGTGTATTTTAAGTAGTATGTGGTAAGTCAAGGATGTATATTTAAATCGATAGTAACTGATAAAAAGCGCAATGAAGTACTATTATAAAGCTGCCATCGGAGATTAACAGCCCCAAATACACAGCATCCATATGAGAACAGATAAACAAATTGTGTTGTATTCAGACAGCGGTGGAGGTGAGTGAACTACTGCTACATGTGATGGCATGAAGGAATGCTGACAGAGGTAGGCCGGTCATCCAAGCACTGTGGGGCATGCGCAATTCAAGGCTCAGACAACAGTGAACAACAGAGACCCTGTCATGTGTATCTGCTGTAACCATCAAAATGTTTTTTTATCCAGCGGTTACAACTCAGTGTCTGACTGCAAGGCATTTAAGATGTAGCATGCCAGGACATCCTGTGCTCTACTCGCAGTATTTAGTCAGTTAGCAGCTGTGAAGTCCGCCTGCTATGCACTTCATCCTCTGTAAGGCCTTGACAAACAGCAGTGTACTCTCCCTCCCATTCACAACTTCTGCCTTTACATTACTCTGAGCTCTAAGACTTGAGTACACACCAGGCAGGGTAACATGGATACTGTCCTCAGAAAACTGCCCTCAACCCTGGCCCAAACGAACTTGTACTTTGCTTCCTTTGCCTCAGTATTCTCTTAGGTTGACAATGTTTGAAACAGTCTACTTGTTTGCTGCTCTTAGCTCATGGTCCTGTTCAAAGTTGGGACATGAGCTTACCCAGCCTCCTCTTGCCATACCCTGGCTCGGAATCAGTGGTTTTGGCCCTGGTCCCTTCTGGTTCTTTCCTATCGCTTCCTTCAAACCCTGTTCATGAGTGAGCTTGTTCACACCTTCCAGTAAATGTGCAATTATAGCTCACTGTTGTCGCTCTCCCCGAATGCACATACCCATAAAGAGGCATGGGAAATGAATATCCATGTTTTTCTTATCATTGAGATACAGCTCACATAATGTAAAATTTACCCCTTTTAACTGAGCAGTTCAATGGGCTTTTAGTCTGCTTACAAAGCTGTAAAACCAAGGAACCAGCAGTTAGAGTAATGGTTATGTCACTGGACTCCCATGTAGTTGACCGCGGTTCGCGTCCCGGATCCAGTGGCTTAAAACTCACGCCGGGCGCGTGTGCATGCGTGCCCAAGATCCTGAGAGGAGAACGGAGGAGAAGGGATTGCCTTACAGCCATAGTTTAACCATGCATTTTCTGTCTTGTTTCTGATATGAGGGAGAAGACTCCCAGCCATCCAACATTGAGTGCGATATTATCTGTGGATGCCTTTTATCACGTGAGGCTATGTCCTTCTACTCCTAGACTGTCTGGCATTTTTAACTATAAAAGTACCTTGACATTTTTTTTCACATTTTTGTTGTATCCACTGAGGTGAACATGTGTTTGTCCTTTATTCTATTAATATGATGTATTACGATGATTGATTTTCATCTTGAACAAACTTTGTATTCCTGGGATAAATCTCACTCGGTCATAGAGTATAATAATGTTATAAATTGCTGGGACTAGCAGTTAGCGTAATGGCTATATTGCTGGACTCCCATGTAGTCGACCGTGGTTCGCGTCCTGGACCCAGTGGCTTGAAACTCACGCCGGGCACGTGTGCGTACATGCCCAAGATCCCAAGAGGAGAATGGAGGAAAAGGGATTGCGGTGTGGCCATCCCCCCGGGGGGTGATTTCTCGCTTTCTGTCTCTCCATCTCTGTCTGTCTGGTGAGTACAAGCGCCCTATAGCAAAAACCTCTCCAAAAAAAAAAAATGTTATAAATTGCTAGGTTAGATTTGCTAGTGCTTTGTTGAGGGAGGAAAAGAGGATGTTAATTAGAAGGTTTTGTTTTCTCACAAGTTAATATATAGAGGATTAATAGCACAGAATTGAAGCTGTTAGTATTTTTATTCCAGAATGATATATTCAAAAGCATGTCTCTTGGACTGTAAAAATCAACTTAGCAATTACGTTTATAGTCTGAAGCAATTGAGTTTAATAAAATAATAAATATTCATTTACTGTCTACCTGGATGCATATATCTTGAATCAAAGACTAATAAAACTTTTCATGTTTCTGATAACTTTATTTTAAAATGGCTGTTTTCTGGCTCTTCTGTTATATTAAGATAATTTAGCAAATAAAAGACTACAATTTTGTGTTTGGATTGGAGAGTATAAGCTGAGTTTCATTAACTTAAAGTAAAAGAAGCCAACAGACTAAGAAAGGAATCATTAATTTTACAGTTGTTCTAAACTATGACACGTTATCCAGCACTTCTTTCTTTTTTTTTTTTTCTTTTTTGAGAGATTTTCACTGTAGGGCACGTGCGCTCACCAGACAGACAGAGACAGACATAGAGACAGAAAGCGAGAAATCACCCCCCAGGGGGATGGTCACGCCGCAATCCCTTCTCCTCCATTCTCCTCTCAGGATCTTGGGCATGCACACACACTTGCCCGGCGTGAGTTTTAAGCCACCGGGTCTGGGACGTAAACCGCGGTCGACTACGTGGGAGTCCAGCAACATAGCCATTGCACTAACTGCTGGTTCCCTAGCACTTATTTCTTCATTAATTTTTAAGTTAACAAAAATTGTGTATATTTATCATGAAAAAACATGGTGTTTTGAAATATGTGTGCATTGTGGAATGACTTAAGTTGAGCTAATCAACACATGCATTACCTCACACACTTATAACTTTTTTGTGCTGACAATACTTAAAATCTCTCAGTGATTTACAAGGATACAATAGTTAGTTAACTATAGTCACCATGTTCTTAAACTTATTCCTCCTATCTGGCTGAATAACCTACTTGGTTAAATTTATTCCTAAGTATTTAATTCTTTAGCTATTGTAATTGTTATCTTTATTTCTACTTGGGATAACTCATTAGTGTACAGAAACACAACTGTTGTTGTATGTTGTTTTTGTTTTTTAATCTAATAGCTTCACTGAATTCATTGATCAGTTTACAGTATTTATAGCGGAATTCTTAGAGTTTTCTAAATATACGATCATATCATCTAGAAATATGGTTTATTTCTTCAATTTGTTTTTCTAACTCTTTCTGGTTGCCTATACTTTGCCACTTTTACATAGAATTTAAAAGTCTACCAATATGAAAACAGGGACGTCCAGACATGCCAAGGAAACACAGCCAGTCCACGGGAGACTAGGGCACTGTGCTGTTAAGAGCAACCACCATTTTCCAAGATGGAATGTGAAACAACCACTATCGTTTCTACTTGCCTTCACTAGCCCGATCATTGTTTCCCCACTCACAGAAGCACCTGCAGCACGAGCTGCTTCTCCTGCCTGTTCTCCTAAGGCCCATGCGTGTCCCCACCGGAAGGGGCAGTAACGCTGCAGATCCACACCTCAGGCACTAACTAGACTACACGAGAACTGCACACGGCACCGAGCTGCCGCATCTGCACCCTTCGCACCACGTGTCTCACAGGGCTCTTGTAGCTGCTCTGGCTGAGCTTTCCACGGCCACTTTTCCCAACGATGACAGCACCCCGAGTGAGCACTCAGGTCGCAACCTTTCCTCGGCTTAGAAAGTGCGAAGTCACAATTCATTGCCATCATGTTTGAAAGCCTTGGCGGCTGTAAGTTACTGGCTTCTCAACATATTTTGAACATCCATTCACAATCTCCCCTAACAGTCTAGAACTGTGCTGTTATCTACGAGAGGTAGAAGAAATGACCAAAATAATTAATGGCTAAGAAAGTAATAAAGACACCATCAATTATTTAGCACAAAGAGACCCAAGGGTGTGTAAGTACGAGACAAAAAATAATACACGGGCCACAAGAGGATTTTCCCCAAGTAACTTAGATATCACTTGATGTATAGTTTACAAGAGGAAGAGAAATAACTTTTACAATTTTTATTTAAATTTAATTCTTGTTAAAAGGAAAAAAATTAAAAAGACATAAAAATGTGATGCCTAAATAGTACAGGATAATTCTACTCTAGCGCACTGATGGAAGATAAGTGGCAGCCAGAACGCATGTCCGAAGGGTATCTGGGCTGTGGTTTTGCAAGGATCACTAGCAGCTCAGGATGTACCTCACCTCAATGCACAGGCAAAGTAGGACCCAGGCCATAGCTCAAAGTGTATTCACTTGCTTAAAAAAAACAGTTAAAAATCTTTATCATTCCTTTAACTTAAATATAGTTTTTTTAAAAAAGGTTTGTTTATTTATTTCTTCCATCAGAGAATGAGAGAGAGAGCACACCCCAATAGGGTCTTGGAGCTACAAACCACAGCCTAGCCTCTGCCAGTCCAGGATAAGCTAAGCATGCTTGGTGTACTGAGGGAGGCCTCCAGACACGGACCGGGAACCTTCCCCTGTGCGTCGGCCTCACAGTGTACCGTGTTTTAGCACTGCGCCTCTGCCTGCCTCTACATTTACTCTTACTATTAAGTGATTTCTATATTTGACCCAATTTCAGCTTTCCTGAATTGTTAAAAAAAATTAAGTTTCTAATATTGGCTTGACTGCCAAGGGAGAGGGCATGTGTGGAAGCCTTTTCAAGGAGAGTTCTGGCTCATGTTGTGCTTCCATGCACACTCACTTGTGTCTTTCTACCTTGATTATCACTCACTGGGAAACTGTGAAAGCGACAAGGAGCGCTGTCAGCAGGACAAATGCTTCCCACACCTGTAACTTAGCACTTTAGTTACACATCACGGTGGGGGGTGGGAGGTGGGGGCCATTCTTCCACTTACCTAAAATCTTCCCCAACATGAGGGATTTGACAGCATTGAATTCTGTCCCTGATGACAGGATGGCTTGTCTTCTTGCATTCTGGTTAACCTTTTAAATGTCCCAAAGATGTGAACATTGAAATGGCAAGCAATTTTGGTGGCAGGAGGATGGAAATCAAAGGGAGGCAAGAAAAATGATAAAAGGATGCTACATGTTAGGACCATCACAAAGGTTAAAGAAACCAACTTCACCCAAACAACAGATGATTTAGACAGGAAAAAACTGTAACAACTTCTCTAATACCGCAGCTCCCACTCCACCCCACTGTCTAGCCTTTCTTCCTCTACCTTTCGTGCCCACAACTGGTCAATCCACAGAGACACAACAAGCTATTTCAACCCCAAAGCTTGTATAAAGGTTCCTCTTTAAAACCCAGTGACAATGCATCATTTAAATACTGTGATATGAGGCTAGCAGGTGGCATGGTGCTGGACTCCCACATGGCTGACCGTGGCTTCAGTCTTGGACACAGCAGCTTGAAACTCACAGTGAGTGGCTGTGTGTGCCCCAAATCCCTGGAGGAGAATGGATGAGAAGGGATTGTGGTATGGCAACTCTCCCTAGGGGATGACTTCTCACTTTCCCTCTCACTGACTCTGTCTCTCCACGAGTGCATGTGCCTTATGACAACAACCTTTGAAAATACATACATACATGCATACATACATACGTACACACTATGATACTGTAAAAAGCTGTATTCCCATTTTAAACAAGATCTTGGCTTTTTTCTTTGTGTTGAAATCACCGCAACATGTGTAAGAACAGATGTATTTGGTGGGAATGAATTACACTGGGATATCACCAGTAGTCACTGTGATCAATCAGACATTTCCCTACCAACTAAATAAAGGAAAACCAATGAGGATAGCTAGATGTTTTAAATAGTCAAATGTGAATAATATTGTTGACAATCTCACTGTTAAATAAGCACTGCCAAGCAATACAAAATTCCTTGGCTATGTTTTATATCTACAAGACTTCTAGAAGAACAGTACTGAATGTGTTTCTTCTTTATGAGGATTTACTACCAAAATGTTGCTTCAGCCACACAGTCTAAGAATCACCGTTTCAAGGATGCCACTGTGGCTGAGTCACTGTCTTACCTCCACAGAGACCACTGCCGCTTCTCGGTCAATCTTCACTTGGTGAAGATGCCCATCTGCCAGGTTTTTAAAACTGAAGTTGAAGACATCAGGTTCTTTGTGTTTGTCTAGCTTATATCTGATCTGCAGACTTCCTAAAGAATGAAAAAGTGACATTTTTTAACTAAAGCAGAATTTTATTAAAACCTGCCAATACAGGGTCTAAAGCACATTTTGTTTTTACATATTTCATATAATTAGAATCTGCAGAGCACCGACTTGGATCGACTTGGGTGTACCAACATTCACTTTTCCTGAAATAGTAATAATTTATGTTCCATTCCAGGGCCCAACTGTAAATCTAAATCCAATCACCTCCATTTTAAAAGTCAAGATGACCTCTCTTTCTCTCTCACTCTATCCCTCTCTGGACAAATTAAAAATAAATGGATAAATGGATAAAGTTAAATGGGATAATCCTTTTTTTTAAAAAAGTCAAGATGAAATGAATTATAATAAGCAGCTTCTTTTCCCAGTTCTCCCATTTTCATGTACTAAAGAATAAAAGTGTAAGTTATTATATTATATATTATAATTATTATTCATTTTTAAATTTATATTTAATCACTGCATATCTTCACATCATACAAAATGGTTTTTCTCAGCATGAATACAGTGTATATTATTCAAATTAGAGGTATTACCATGTACATTATCATCAACAGATAACTTTTTATTTTTGTTTCTGTTAAATGTATTTTACCCTTGATTCCCTTTCTTCCACTCCATTATCCATCCCCTCCTAAACTGTTTCTAGTATCTTCAGTTGCTCTCCTTGTTATTATACCTTCCAATCTTTCAATTTCTTCCACAGAGTGCAGACATTTGGTATATATTAAGTGGATACATACAATGCCTGCCTTTCATAGTATTGTTTGCTTCATTTAGCATTAAATCTTCCATATTTGTCTACTTTGTCTCAAATGTCAAGGTCTCATTGTTCTTTATGGCTGAGCAGTATTCCATAGGATATATGTGCCACATTTTTCCAATCCATTCATCTGATCTTGCCCATTTGGGCTGACTTGTGTCTTAGCAATTGTGAATAATGCTGCAATGAACATGGTATGCAAGTGTTTTTCCAACTGAGGGTTTTCCTATCTTCTGAGTAGATACCCAGCAGTGGAATTACAGGTCAAATGGTAGTTCTATTTGTAGGTTTTTTAAGGAACCTCCAAGTTGTTTCCCACAGTGGCTGTACTAATTTATATTCCCACCAACAGTGTAGGAGAGTTCCCATTTCCCTTTTCATCACAGCCTCACCAGCCTTTATTCTTTATTTTTTAAATCTTAGCCATTCTGAGCCAACTTAGGTGTTGTCTCATCATGGTTTTGATTTGCATTTCCCTTACAAGAGATGTTGAGGGACCAGCAGATGGTTTAATGGTTATGTCACTGGGCTCCCACATATTTGATCGCTGTTCGAGTCCCGGACCTGGTGGCTTCAAATTCACACTGGGCGCATGTGCGAACATGCCCCAGATCCTGAGAGAAGAATGGAGGAGAAGGGATGTAGGCATGACCATCTCTCTTGGGAGGTGATTTCTCACTTTCAATCTCTCTCTCTCTCTGGTGAGCAAATGTGCCTTATAGCAAAAATCTCTCTAGACAAAAAAAAGCTATAGATTTTTGTACTACTATGTTGGTTTTGTATCCTGTTACTTACTGTATTCATCTATCACTTCCAGGAGTTTTTTTTCTGTGTATTCTTTTGGGCTTTCTGTTTATATAATCATATCATCTGCAAATAGAGATAATTTCACTTCTGTTCCCATTTAAATGTCTTTTATTTTACTGTTGTCTGATTGCATTGACAAAGACTTCCTGTACTGTGTTGAAAAGCAGCGGAGAAAGGGGGCAACCTTTTCTTGTACCAGTTTTCAGTGGAAAAGCTTTTCTCCATTCAGTATGGTGTCAGCTATGGGCTTGTCATATATATGGCTTTTATTTTCTTAAGAAATGTCCCTTCTATGCTGATTTTGCTGAGAGTCTTAATCATGAAGGGATGTTGTGTTTTATCAAATGCTTTTCTGTATCATTAATATAACCATATTATATCTTTTCTTCTATCAATGTGATGTATTACATTTGTTGCTTTGCATATGTTGAACCACCCCTGGGATAAAGCCTACTTGGTCGTGGTAATCTTTTTAATGTGTTGTTAGATATGATTTGGTAGTATCTTGGTGAGAATTTTTGCATCTGTATTTATCATGGATATTGGTCTGGAGATTTCTTTTTTCATTCTGTCCTTGGCTATGTGTGGGATCAGGGTGATGGAAGCTTCATAGGATGAATTTGGGAAGGTTCCTTCCTTTTGAATCTTTAGAAATAATTTGAGAAGGGAACCAGCAGTTAGCGTAATGGCTATGTCGCTGGACTCCCATGTAGTCAACCGCAGTTCGCGTCCTGGACCTGGTGGCTTAAAACTCACATCGGGCGCATGTGCGTGCGTGCCCAAGATCCCGAGAGGAGAATGGAGGAGAAGGGATTGCAGCGTGACCATTCCCCCGGGGGATGATTTCTCGCTTTCTGTCTCTATGTCTCTCTCTGTCTGTCTGGCGAGTGCATGCGCCCTATAGTGAAAACCTCTCAAAAAAAAAAAAAAAAAAAAGAAAGAAAGAAAGAAAGAATGAATGAATTTGAGAAGAACTGGGGTTAGTTCTTTAAATGTTTTGTAGAATTCAAACGTAAAGCTATTGGGACCTGTGCTCGTCTTTGTTGTAAGACTATTTATTACTGTTTTGACCTCATTGCTTGTTATTGGTTTATTCAGGCTTTCCATGTCTTTCTGGTTCAACCTTTGTAGATTATATATGTCCCCAAATTTGTTAATCTCATCTAGGTTTTTCTGTTTGTTGGTACATAGTAACTCATACTATTCCCTCATGATCATTTGTATTTCTGTTATGTCTGTTGTAATATTGCCTGTCTCACTGCTGATTTTATTTATCTCATTCTCTCTGTTCTTCTCTTGACTTAGTCTAGCTACCAGTGTGTCAATTTTGTTTATCTTTTCAAAGAACTAGTTTGACTTCATTTATTTTCTGTATAGTTCATTTATTCTCTATTTCATTTCTTTATGCTCTAATCATCATTATTTTTCTCCTGATGTTTTGGGGATTTTTTGTTTGCTTTTAGATCCCTGAGGTGTGCTGTGAGTTTATTTGCCACTTTTCTATTTTTTTCCTTGTAAGCACTAATTACTATAAACTTCCTTCTAAGGACTGCTTTTTCTGTGTCTTGTAAGTTATGAAAATGTGTGTGTTCATTACTATTGGTTTCAATGAATCTTTCAATTTTAGTCTTAATTTCTTCAGTGATTGTAAAGTCATGCTGGAGTACGTTGTTTAGTTCCCATGTTTGTATGTATTCCCAAGGGTTCTTCTATAGTTGAGTTCAAGTTTAATTCCACTGTGACCAGAAAAAATGCTGGGTATACCTTTTACACATTAGAACTTGTAAAGACCTGTTTTATGTCTTATCATGTGGACTATCTCTAAAATGTTACATGTAGGAGTGACAAGAATGTGTATTTAGTGGATGTTGGGTGAACCGTTCTATTGATATACAACCAATTCATTTGGTTTTGGATTGTTTGGCTGCTGTACCTCTTTGTTTGTTGTTTGTCTAGATGATTTGTCCATAGGAGACAGTGGAGTGCTGAGATCCTCAGTGATGAGTGTGCTGCAGCCTCTCTCTCTCTCTTTTTAGATCTAGCAGTCTTTCTTTAAGGTATTTAGGTGCTCCGGTGTTGGGTGCATAGATATTTATATGTGTTATATCTTCTTGGTGGATTTGCTGCTCTAGTACTATGTAGTGTCCCTCTTTGTCTCTTCTTACAATTTTTGTCTTGTAGTCTGTTTTGTCTGATATCAGTATCATAACTCCAGCCTTCTTTTGGTTTCTGTTTGCGTGGAGTATCTTTTTCCAGCCCTTCACTTTCAGTCTATGTCTTATCAGAGAAAGTGTTTTCTTGTAGGTAGCAGACAATGCTCCTGATATTTTTATCCATTCAGCCAGTCTGTGTCTTTGCATTGAAGAATTTAATCTATCAACAATGAATATTATTATCAGTATTTGTGGATGTACCCCAGTCATTTTGTTAGTCATTTTCTTTGTTATTTTGTGTTTTATTATTTCTATTTTTCTCTTTTTAGTTTTCCTGATAAAGTCCTCCCTTCAGTACTTCTTGAAGAGTTGGCCTACCTTTTGTATATTTTTTCAGTTTTTGCTTATCTGAAAATGTTTTTATTTCTCCTTCCCATTTGAAGGATAATCTTGCTGGGTATACTTGGGTATTCTTGGTTGAAATCATTTTTCTTTCAGCATTTGAGTCTTCCCATTCTTTCCTTGCCTGTATCATTCCAGTTGACAGATCTGATGTTAGCCTGATAGGATAGCCTTTGTATTTAACTGGATGCTTCATTCTTGCCATTTTTAGAATTTTGTCTCTGTCTTTGATTTTTACCAATCTATGATGTGCCATGGAGAGAATATGATGTAGATTGTTTTCTGTTCTTCAGGTTTTCTGGATTTGAATGTCTTTGTTTCTCTATATTCGGAAAGCTTTCAGGTGGTATTTCATGAAAGAGGTTTTCTATGCCTTCACCAGCTTCTTAGTCTTTTGTAATTCCCATTATATGGATATTTGGGCATTTAATGATGTCTAGTATTTCCTGTATACTAATTTTTTTTCATTATTTTTCATGGTTTGGATTAAGTGAGACTTTGTCTTTCATATCAGAGATTCTTCTGCATGGTCCAATCTGATATTGATGTTCTGAAGGGAGAGTTTGATTTTCTTTCATTGTATCCTTCATCTCCAGGAGTTATGTTTAATTTTTCTTTAGGTTGTCTATATCTTTATGGAATTCTTCCTTCCGATCATAGACTGCTTTTTCTAATATCCTGGAGTTGGCCGTCTATTTTTTCTCACATCTCATTGAGTTTTGCTATGATGAATATTCTGAATTTTATTTCTATCTTTTCTGTAATTTTTTTGTTTTGTTTTGTTTTGCTTTTTTCATTGTTGGTGAGGAGGTGCTGTGTTCTTTTGAAGAAGATGTACTTTCTGATTTTCTCCTACTTCTTGAGGCTCTACTTTGTTTTCTAGGCATCTGTTGAGGCACTCACTTTTCCCCACTGACCTGGGGGTAGGTTTCTGGGGCTGTATGCTTGTGCACTTCTCTGTGGTATACTTTAGCTCCACACCAGTTTCCCTCTCATTTCCATAACTTTCTAATTCTGATGTGGCTAAGCACTGACTTACGAATCTTTAGGTATTAGGTAAGTGGTACGTGGGCCCATTGATCCTGTCCCTCCCTGGCTCTAGGCCCTGCAGAGGGTCGGGCTGGCAATGGAAGACCACCATTATTATTATTCTAACTTTGTCAGAGAGCAGTACTCTCACCAGAGGGACACAAAGAGACTGAGGGAGAAGGAGGGGAAAAGCAACTCCCAATGAGGCATGCTCAGACCATAACCCTTCCCCCCCATTTTTCCATCTTGTCAGAATTTTAGGCACACACATGTATCCAGCACATTATTCAAGCCCCTGGTACAAAGATTAGAACCATGTGGGATCTAGTTCCCTTAACCATTAGGCCACTGGGCTGGCCTGACTCTAAGCAATTATTAATGTGATATTGATATTACTAAATGGCAAAACCTCAAGCAATAATGTATTAACACCTAGTTTCTACAAACATAACATCTTTTAATATAAACTATTGTAACACTTTTAAATGTATTTCTTTCATTTGTATAATTAACTTGTTTAACTTTTTTTTTAAGATAGACATTTCTTTTTTTTTTTTTTTTTTTTTGAGAGGTTTTTGCTATAGGGCACATGTGCTTGCCAGAAAGACAGAGAGAGACAGGGAGACAGAAAGTGAGAAATCGCCCCATAGGGGAGATGACCATGCTGCAATCCCTTCTCCTCTATTCTCTTCTCTTGATCTTGGGCACACACACACACGTGCCTGACGCGAGTTTAAGCCTCCAGGTCTGGATCTCGAACTGCAGTCGGCTACATGGGAGTCCAGCGACATAGCCATTACACTAACTGCTGGTCCCCTTAAGATAGACTTTTGCTATAGGGTGTATGCACCTGCTGGAGAGACAGAAAGAGAGAAATCATCCTCTGGCGGGATGGTCACACTGCAATCTCTTCTCCTCCATTTTCCTTTTAGGATTTTGGGTACACACGCACACATGCCCCATGTGAGTTTGAAGCTACCAGGTCCAAGACTCGAACCACAGTCAAGTACATGAGAGTCCAGCGATGTAACCATTTCACCACCTGGTTCTGTATGATTTTTTTTTCTTTGCACAACCAGGATTTTACCCCCAATATTTCTACCATATTGAAGAAACAGAGAAAAGAGAGAAGTGAGTGGTTTGCTACCACATCCAAATCTCTGGATCCACACAGTTCTCGTCTTCACAGAGCATCCATCCCATAACACTAGCACTGCCTGTTACAGATCCTATCAATCAGAGATGTGGGGTGGCTTTTCCAGAGGTTTAATTTCTTCCCTCCTGTGCTTTTGAACTTGAGTTAAAGGTAGTTTTGTTCTCCAACTATAGAAGCCGGCGAACATTCGGGAGGGTGTGCGTTGGGTAAGTCTTAATCCACTTTAGTTTTTCAAGTAGACATCAGGGGAGTGACTTCTCAACTACTGTTAATAAAGAACAACCATGCTTATCTAATATATGTGGATATTGGATTTTATGTGGTTTAAGCACTTCTTTACTTTGCTTAGAGGAGGAACTATTTTTCAGATATAAAATGAGGTATCTTACTTGAAAATGAACTGGCAAACTAATCTTGTTTGTTCATGTACAGAAAGGACGGTTTCCTCACAGTTTCACACCAAATACTTACAAGGACCAAACTTTTGTGAGAAAAAGACATCTTAAGTTAATCACTGAAGTGTTCACTTTTGTGACAAACATTTGTGGGTGTACTGAAAGATAAACCAACCCTGATAAAGTGAGAGTCACAGGGCATACGACTGAGTTGCTCTGTGTGGACGTGGAGCAGTCAAAGGCCCACATCATTCAGATCATCCAATTCTAAGTCAGTCTTTGTGTTCTGACACCAGATACTCACCGTTTGGGGCAAGAACAACTGAAAGGTATTCCTCATGGAAGGAGCTCACAAACAGCAATAAGCTGGGAGTCTCAGTGGTCCGGAAGCTCAGAGTAACCACTTCCCTGGTCAGAGTGAGCCCCTCATGAAATAAGGCTGCCTGGGAGCTGGAGTTCTTACGGAAGGTGGAATTGGAATGTTCTTGCAAATTGTAGATGACTGAGGAGCCAGCTCCAAAATTCACAGAAATCTCTGTAACGACACACTTCTTTGTTATGTTAGCAACAAATTAAGTGTGAGACTCTTGCTTTATGTGTATTTAAGAAATATCTCAAATCCTTAAATATCCCAAAAGGGAAAATAATAATGACACGTGTCAGAGGGCTTTTTGTTCATTAAAATATTTTTCAGATTTAAAAACTATATATTATTATTTTATTCAGCTAATAAAATATGGCTAAGCGACCCCATATATTCCCAGAGTCCACAGTTAAGGAGCACCGTGTACTGCTCTGCAGCCATCATCTTAGAAGGCATGTTTAACAGATCCCCCAGTACAAGGTTCAGCAGTGGCTGCAGAGACCCAGACAGGTCTCATCTCCAGACCTGGATCAGCCTCCTTCTAACTGTGGCAGAGGACTGTAGGACACCGACCACGCTGTGTCGGAAATCCCCAGCACGTCCTACCCTTCCCGGCTGGGCCATAGCCACTCCTGGCACCGGTTCAGCCTCCGTACTCACCGCGCGTGCAGAACGGCCCGTCGTAGGCAGAGAAGGTACAGTCACACACCACCCCGCGGCGCCCTTCCTGACACCGGCCTCCGTGGCGGCACAAGCTGCCGGAACTGCTGCATTGCCCCGCAGAACCCCGGCACCCCCCGCGTCACCGCGGCTCGCCCATCCAGGTCCAGGGCCACCCCGTTCAGCTGCAGGGAGCGAATGCAGCCCAGGAAGCCCCGCTGCCTGCTGGCGGTTCCGCCTGGTAGGAAGAGACACGCGAATAGCCGTGCGCCCGGCCGCACCTGGACGGCGCCTCCTTGTCACCCAGAGGCTTTATGGAGAGAGTTGAAAATGCTTACCTTTCAAACAATGTTGAAAACACAGATTGTAATCAAACATTATCAAAAATTATCAAACAGCATATGGAGTAAATAAAACTTTTTAAAAATGTAAACTTGGTAAATAGTCTAAAAAGACTTCAAGTAATATCCAAAGAAAAAATTTCATTTGTTCCTTCATAAAAAAAAAACAAAATAAAGGCTTCTGATCTTTTTTTTTTTTTTTTTGAATTGAATGAGGGCCCACGTCCTTGCTAGAGAGAGGAGAGGGAGAAAGTGTCCATCAGTGAGGCGTGGCGTGCCACAGTTCTCTCTCCTTCATCCCATCAGGACTGGAGGGACGCACGCCCGTGTGCCCAGTGTGTTTTCAAGCCGTGGGGCCAGGATTTGAGCCGCGGTCTGCCACATGAGATCTGGCTCCCAATGCACAGCACTTAAACTCTGCACTACAGGGCCCGCCCTGTCCATCCTTTTCAAAGCTTACATTTATAAACAGTGTTGAGCATTGCACAGGTTATTAGTTAAGCATTTCTACACTCAAATACATATATATCTATATATACATATGTACATAGTGTGTGTATATATGTACATATATGCACTATACTATATATGTGTATATACATATATGCATAGTGTGGTGTGTGTAAGTGTGTATATATACACACACACGTCCCCGCATACTCACATATATACATAGTGTGGTGTGTGTGTGTGTGTATACATGGTGTGGTGACACACAAACTCACATATATACATAGTGTGGTGTGAGTGTGTACACATACACACTCACATATATACATAGTGTGGTGTGAGTGTGTACACATACACACTCACATATATACATAGTGTAGTGTGAGTGTGTACACACACCCCCACACACTCATATATATACATAGTGTGGTGACACACACACACTCACATATATACATAGTGTGTGGGGTGTGTGTGTGTGTGTGTATAGAGACAGACAGATCCCCAATATCCATAGTTCTGCATCCACAGATTCAGTCAGCTCCATATTAAAAATAGTTATTACAAAAGTAAAAACAATACAACCAAAAAATGCAAATAAATAATACAGCGTGGCAACTGTTCACTTAGCATTTATATTTAGTAGATAATAAAATAATCTGGAAATGGTTTAAAACATAAGCAAAGATACGTGTACGCTGTAAATGCAATTATGCCATCTTATGAAAGGGCCTTGACACCTGAGGATCTGGACCCATCTCCTGGACACTGAGGGAGGACTGTATATACATCCCTTTCCTAGATGAGTTCTCCAGGGACAGCCGGTGGCGGGGTGGTTAAGGACGCTGGATCCCACAAAGCCAACCGTGCAGTTTGGATCCTGGACCCAGTATAAAAAACATGCTGGGCATGCATGCATGAGAGGAGGGAGAGGAGAAAGAAGAGGGATTGCGGCGGGACAGCCCCATGGAGGGTGCCTTCTTGCTTCCCTCTTTCCATCCTTCTCTGCAGAGTATATGTGTCCTCTGGCAAAATTTAAAGGAAAAAAGGGAAGCATGTGCTCTCTATAGTATAGCTGAGAAAGGAGGTAAGAAAAAGAAAGAAGGTGAAAGAGTGAAACCAAGTCTAGACTCAGGCCTGCCTTGCTCAGTCCAGTCCACTGAGATCAACGTGGTATAACATTAACAGTATTTTTATCATGTCTCGTGTGAACCTGGGGCAATAGTTCTCAACTGCGAAAGCCCAGGAGTCACCACCCAGACAGCTTATTAAAAACCAGATGTGGGGCAAGTCAGTGGCATGGTGGTTTAGGCAGCTGGATGTCACATGGCTGACTTCACTGTTCAAGTCCTGGACTTGGCGGCCTGAAAAGCACACCGGTGCACATGTGTATATGCATGCCCAAAGTCCTGAAAGGAGGGAGAGAAGGAGGAGAAAGAATTGTGGCATGGCATGCCCCATGGAGAGTGCTTCCTCAATTTCTCTCTCTCTCAAACACATACACCCTCTGGCAAAACACACACACACACACAGATTTGGGGGCTCAACCCCAGGGATTTTAGTTCAGTGCACCAAATCTGAATTTTTGACTTGTGATACTTTCTCAGCCTTTAAAAGCATTATCTTAGCAGAAAAAAATTCTGGATAGATTTTCATGCAAATTGGCTCATGGTAATTCTGTTAATTAATCCTCAGAATTATAAATCAGAAAATAAAATTACTTAAGTTGAGCCACAGTCTGATGGTCTGAAGTGAAGCTTCATACCAGTGAGAATTAACTGTGCTTGAAGCTGAGTTTAGGAACTATAGGTTGTGTACAAGCACGCATACATGGATGTGTGTGTATGCATGCACACACACACACACTTGAATGCACTGCATAGAATCAGCCCCTCTGCACTGTTAGTACCCTCCGGCAGAGCAGGCTGTATGCTAACCAGTGATTTATATCCATTCTTAGTTGGACCATGCCTTTATTTACTTTAAAACACAGGAGAAATAACTGAGAACTACTTTCTTACTCTGCTTAGTTCCTAAATTAGAACAGAGCTGTTGGAAAATAATGTAGTACAATGTGTTTTTTTTTTTCCTTTGGGTAAAACAATAATAAAACAGTAAACAAGAGAAGGGAAGGAACTTCCATTATCCAGAGCTGTAGTCTTTTAAAACCAGACCCCATTATAAACCAGGGGATATGACCAGCAGGAGGACGAGGGGACCCAGGAGCTAGACTGGTGACAATCCTGCAGGGGACAGGCACTCTGGGCTGCTCCTGCCAGCTGGTCTCCATGGTGTGTTTCTGCGGGGACACTGGAGGATTCTGTGCCCATTATAGGGCAGGTTCTTCTCCCCACCGGCAGGTGAAATAGGAGAAATGGAGCAAAACTACCATGTTTTAGGAATAGTACAGACGAGAAGTAGAAGGAATGGCACAGACTGGCCAGAATGTCAGATGCAAGCCTGGGACGCAGCCAGTGCAGGTTCAGGGCCTAACCTAGCTGGGTGCTCTGCGGCTCCAGGACCTCACCTGTGACTTGAGCATAGTAACACCGAGGAACACCATGCGAAGGACTAAATGCAGAGCTTTCTGCAATCGTACTGTGGCAGTGGCCTGGCAGGGCCACCGTCCCCCGAGAGCCCTCTGGCTCCATCCTGCCCTCCAGGACAGATCAGCAGCACTCACCCACGAAGAGCTGGCTGTTGAGCTGCAGGCGGACGTGCCCGTTGGCAGGGGCAGGCTGGGTCTCCATGGGGAGCTGGTCCACTTGTAGAGAAGCTTCTTGAACGTTTCTCTCTGCCCACACATGGTGCCACCGGTTGTCGTTAAAGGGAGTGGGTGATTGCACCGTGACCTCACAAGGCCCATTCCCCACATCAAAGGAAAAGGTCAATGCAGCAGGAGCTGGGAATTGCAGATAGGAGAGTGGCTCAAGTTAATCCATGGGAGAAATTCTGGCCTCCAGTAGACACGAGAGCAGCATCAAGGCAATGTGTCCCTTGACAGGAGACAAGGACACTGATGAGGAAAACGCTACCCTAAATTGGCTGGGAAGGCAAATTAATTTGCATCCTGGAAGGAGAAAGAAAAGACTGACTTTAACATTTCCATGTCAGAGTCTACTGTTCAACTTGCTAAGCTCTGAGCAGTAGTCACTTACCTCTAAGAAGGAAACTAGCACGTCATCTGACTTCCTGCCTCAAAGTGATTGTGTTTAAAGGTGAGTTAAAGCTTTGTATACTTTAAAATAAAAGCACTATGTGGAATTTTTTGACAGTAGGAAATAAAGCTTTTCATATATGATTAAACAACATGATTGGCCAGTTCAATCAAAGATTTTGTAATTTAATAAGCAGTTTGTTATTTGACCCATTTGGTTTAATCTCCTGACTACACACTGAGTTAAGAGCACGGAATTGTCCCATGGCCTAGACCACTGTGTAGCTCACATGTCATTGTTTTACCCTCTATTTACGCAATGCTTTTAAATGATAGAGAGCCAGGCAATGACGCAACTGGATTCGTACAGAAAAGGTCCTGAGTTCATATCCCAGGACCTTCCGGCTCAGAGCACTCCAGGAGCACGTGTGTCTGTGATTCAGATTGGCTGAGACGGGGGCTGGATCCTGGTGTGGACAATCTGTCGGGGGGCTGTCTGTCTCTCTCTCTCTCTCTGTTTTTGTCTCTCATGAAAGAAATTAATCAGTAAAAACTAGAACAGATAGACAACAAAACTTTACTACTTAATAAGCAAGTTCAACTAATACAGAAGCAGAGCAATGTACTGGCAATTAGACGACCAAAAGGTTTAAGGCCCAGAGCCCCCCAGCTTTGTCCAGAGCAGACTCACCACGCAGCTCTAGCCTGATAAAGTCTGTGATCCCCAAGTTCTCTACAAACACTCCAGAGGCAGCTGTCGTTTTGAAAAAGAAAGACACATCAGCACTGAGCTCTCCGCGGAAAGTAGGGAAGTGAAGGTATGAAGCCTTAGTATTAAAGGAAGCTGAATTCCAAAATGAATCTGTTTACAAAAAGGAAAAAGAAAAGACAAATGGTGAAAAATAATAAACAAACATTAATACTGAAAGCATTAATCATCTATGCAAGCTTTGACGGCATCAACCACCAAATAGTGATTATCTGATGATTAAGATTTTGGTCAAGGTAGCAGCTGAGGAGAGGGATGATCACGGTGGAAATGGCCTGTGTTTATTCAGAAAGTTTTATTTTATGTTATCATGGAGTGTAATGGTCTCTCTGGGGATGCAGTTATATGAATTTTAGCACATGCATGGATTTGTAACCATTACCACAATCAAGATAAAGGACAGTTCCATTGCACCAGAACTCCCTCTTACGCAATCCTACTGTAATCACAGCCTCCACCTTCGGTAGCCCTTGGCAAGCCCCCTCTGGCCTGTTTTGCCTTTTCCACCCCTCACCTACCTGGAGCCCTGGAGTGATGCCTTTTGAGTTGGTTTCTTTCACACAGCATAATGCCTCTGAGATCCATTCAAACTGCACTTGTAGTGACACTGGGTCCTTCGTAGGACTTCCTTCCAGCATGTGGATGTTTATTTATTCACGCTGAAGGACACTGGTGTGGCTTCCAGATTTGGGCAGCTTTGGCTGGAGTTGCTATAAGCATGTGTGCATAGATTTTCATAGGGACATAAATTTTTCATTTCTTTAGGGTAAATACCCAGGAGTAAAATTTCTGGGTCATATGGTAAATATATGTTTAACGTAATAAGAAATGGCCAGTCTTTCAGAGGGACTACACAATTTTTCATTCCCATCAACCATCTATAAGTGATGTAGTTGTTTTACGTCTATATCAGCACTTGGTATAATTAATATATGTATATATAGTATATAGGTATAAAATATATAATTAATATATATATATATAAAGATATAGGTATAGTTAATATGTATATATTTACATATATTTTATATATATATTTTTTTCCATTTTGGCAGTTCAAATTGGTGTATACTGGTATCACACTGTGGTTTTAACATGTCTTCCCTAACAGCTAATGTTGCTAAATATCTTTTCATGTGCTTATCTACTGTTTTTCAATCCTCTTCAGTGAATTATCTGTTCAATTTGGGAAGAAATGACTTCTATGTTGAGTTTTCCAGTCCGTGAACTCCGTGTGTCTTTCGATGTATTTTTCTTGATTATTTTCCTCAGCATTTAGTAATTTTGAGCTTACAGATCCTATATGTGTTTTATTGTATGGGTAGAAAGATGTTTTATTTTGTAGATTCCTTAAGGTTTTTTTGAAGACAACCATATTGGGTTGTCAGAAAAGTCATGGCATTTTTTTTCTATGTTTTTCTATACAAAATGTATCATGAGTTTTCCAGCAACACAAAATGTAAACACATCTGTGAATCAAGTTTTCTTTGTCTCTAATCTGCATGCACTTACTTAACTTTATTGTATTATTCACTGGCTAGGATTTCCAATATGACAGAAGTTGTCAAATACAAGAGGGGAGGTTGGATATTCTTGCCTTGTTCCATCTCAGGAAGAAAAATTTCAAACTCTTAACATTAATTATGATGACAGCTTTGTTTTGAGTAGATACCCAATATCAGGTTGAAAAAGCTCTGTTCTGTTCTTGGTTTGCTAAGAATTTGACTATAAATGCTATTGTGATATGAACTGTCACGTTGAATTAGTTAGGAGCACTCATGTGGCTGTGTCCGTACCAATCGGTACAGAAAAAGCATTTGATGTGATTTTTATTCTTTAGACTGCTAATATGGTGGACTGCATTGCTTGATTTTCAAATACTCAATGAGCCTTGCATTCCTGGGATAATCCTTAGCTATGCATGGTTCATTATTCTTTTAAATATTCCTGGATTCAATTTGATACTATTTTGTTTTCTGCATCTGCATTTGTGATAAATATTGGCTGTAGGTATCTTTTTTTTTTTTTTTTCACTTTCTCATCTAGTTTGGGTATCAGGGCAATGGTAGCCTCATTAAATTAGCTAGAAATAGTTTCCTCTTTGATTGGAGCTGAGAACTAGTGCTTTCAAGGACTAAGAGTAATGAAGATTTCTTGCTGAGACTTCACCCTCCGGACCCCATTCTCAAGTGTTGGGGCTCCCTGTGTCTTTCTGTCTTTCTCTGTCTTTTCATTTTTTTAAAAAAATTTTTCTTTCTTTAAAAATTTTTTAAGATAAAGTATTTTCTTGGCTCTCAGATCCTCCTTCCCCCCTCCCATTTAGGAGAGGCAAAAGTGCAGGCCTTCAGAAGACTCCTCCATTGGAGCTGAGAACTGGTGCCACGGTTTTCATGTTTTGTTTTATAAAAAATACATATTTTATTTCTTTATCTCTCTCTCTCTTTCTCTGTTTTCTTATCCTTTTTATTTTACCTTCATTACTTTGCTGCTCGGCCTCCACACACTGAGTGTCTAGACAGCCAAACACCTGTATATTATTAGGATCAACCTATTCTTCGATTCCCACTGAATCTGCTGCACAAAGAGAGAAAAACAGAACAGGAAAGAGATTGCAGATAACCTCCTGCATGCTTCTGACAACTCAGATTAAACCTCTAGAAAATAGAAAGAAACATATAACCTACCGGATGACCAGAAATCACCAGAGGTACAAGAAATATGAAAAACCAAGAAAATACCTCTCCCACAAGGGAAAAGAATAACTCTTCTTCATCCACAGACAATACAATGGAACTCACAGAAATGTCTAATAAAGAATTTTCATAGTGCCAAAGCTAACAGAGATACAAGAGAAGAGAGACATTGAACTCCGGAAGAGGCAGGAGAAAAGAGTCAATGATTTCCAGGAGGTGAGAAAGTTCTTACATGATCTGAAAGAGAAAATACACACCATAAAAAAGAATCACATGAAACTGTTACAGATGAAGGCTATAATACAGGAAGTAAAAACCTCCCTTGGAAGTATTAAAAGCAGGGAACCAGCAGTTAGCGTAATAGCTATGTCGCTGGACTCCCACATAGTCGACCGTGGTTCGCATCCCGGACTCAGTGGCTTAAAACTCATGCCGGGCACGTGTGCGTGCATGCCCAAGATACTGAGAGGAGAATGGAGAAGGGATTGCGGCATGACCATCCCCCCTGGGGGGTGATTTCTTGCTTTCTGTCTCTGTCTCTCTCTGTCTGTCTGGCAAGTGCACACGCGCTATAGCGAAAACCTCTCCAAAAAAAAAAAAGGCAGACTAGATCATACAGAGGATTGAATCTCAGATGTAGAAGACTGAACCACTGGGCTAGAAAAATCCACCATGGAGACTGAGAAAAGAGCTGAAAAAAAATGAGAATAATATACAAGAAATACTAGATATCATTAAATGTCCAAACATTCAGATAATCAGTATCCCAGAAGGTGAAGAGACCAATAAGGGTATTGATAATCTATTCCATGAAATCCTGTCCTGAGAAAGACATTCAAAGATTCAGACCCAAGAAATAAAGAGGACCCCAAATAGGACCAACCCAAGAAGATCTTCTCCAAGACATATTATAGCCAGAATGACCATAACTACAGACAAAGACAATATACTAAGATTGGCAAGAGGGAAATGTCATGTTACCTACAAAGAATATCCCATCAGGCTAACAGCGGATCTCTCATCAGAAATACTGTGAGCAAGGAAATAATGGGAAAATATACTCAAAATGTCGAGTGAAAACCAATTTCAACCAAGAATATTATATCCGGCAAGATTATCCTTCATATGGGAGGAGAAGACAAGAACATTCTCAGATAAACAAAACCTGAAAGAATTTACTGACACCAGACCAGCTCTCCAAGAAGTTCTGAAGGGAATGCAATATAAGGAAAACTAAAGTCAGACACACAGAAATAAGAGTTCAAAAACAACTAAGAAAATGGCCAGCTTACTGGTAGGAACAAGTCCGGAGTCCAATGTTATCTTCCAGAATTTAAAAGGAAAGATCGGGTCACAACAAAAGATATGTAAGACTGAACTGGTAAGGCTGTGGGGTAGACTAGCAGCGGCTCAGACCCCACAGGGTGCCCCTGAGAGATTTAAGACTTCTTGGTTTCTAAGAAAATGCAGAAACATCACCAGAGCCTTCCGTACAGCTTTCTGTACACTCAGACACTCACAGTGACACCGTCCTGGCCAGTTTGGAAGATCAGAGGAAGAAAGGCTTCCTCTGTGACATTACTTTAATCGTGGAGAATGTGCATTTCTGTGCCCGCAAAGCTTTACTCGCTGCCAGTAGCGAGTACTTCTCAATGATGTTTGCCGAAGAGGGGGAGATCGGCCAGTCTATTTACATGCTCGAGGGCATGGTTGCAGACACCTTTGGTATCTTGCTGGAGTTTATCTACACAGGTTATCTCCATGCCAGTGAGAAAAGTACAGAACAGATCCTCGCTACTCCTCAGTTATTAAAAGTCTATGACCTAGTAAAGGCTTTCACAGACTTTCAACATACTCATAATTCCCCAAAGCCTGTGACTTTGAACACTGCTGGTGCTCCAGTGGTGGTTATTTCTAATAAAAAAAATGATCCTCCAAAGAGGAAACGGGGAAGACCAAGAAAAGTCAACAGTATGCAGGAGGGGAAGTCAGAACGGCTGCAGAGGAAGAAATACAATTAAGAGTGAACAATTCAGTTCAGAATAGACAGAATTTTGTATTTAAAGAAGGAGACAATGATGTTCTGAATGAACACATTCCAGTCAAAGAAAAGGAAGAAACTGAGCCTGCTTGTGAGCCGGGTAGAGTAGAGGAAATATTTGCCAGCTGAAAAAGATGAGAACCAGGATCCCAAGACCCAGGATGGGCAAGACAGCCAGAGTCGGTACAGCAAGCGGAGGATTCGGAGATCTGTCAAACTTAAAGATTACAAACTTGTTGGGGATGAAGACGACCAGGGTTCAGCTAAGAGGATCTGTGGAGGAGAAAGAGCCCTGGTGGTCCTGAGGCCCAAGACTGTGGCAAAGTTTTTAAATACAATCACTTTTTAGCAATCCATCAAAGGAGCCACACAGGTAATTACACTTTCACAGCTTTGTATGGTGTGTTTTTGAATTTGTAGTACAAATGAAAATATTATAATAGCTTTCATTTATCACAAAGCTTCTATGTTGGGCATGGTTACGCCCGCCCTATGGCACAAAGCTTCTATGTGATGAGTATTGTAATACAGCCTTTTACACTTGAGTGCATTTAATTCTTACAATAGTCCTGTGAGGTTGTCAATACCAAAACATCAAAATGGAGTTAAAGTCCAAGATTATTTTGACGCAAAAAAAATTGAAATGTATGCATAGATTTTTCCTAATATGCATCTCCTTGAACTTTTTGAAGACCCTCATTTGTTATCTCCATTGTACAAATGAAGAAACCCAACTCTTTCAGAGCTTAATAACAACCTGGCTTACCCATTTATTGATAGCTTAGCTATGAACCCAGGTAGCCTAATTCTAAAACTCCTCTTAGTTGGTTCAAGGCTTTACTTCCAGTTGTCAAGCTCTAGGTGTCCAATTTGCTTTGCATTTTGATTCTTGAATAGTCTTCATCTTGACTATAGATATGCTGTTGCTATGTCTGTGTGGACAGCTTTCTGATTCAGCCATCTAGCTGTAATTGCTTTCTCCTTTTTGGTCCCTTTAGCCCAGTACTGGCCAGTAGGCCCTTCCATAATGACGAGTGTTCTAAATACATACTGCCCAGTGTGAGGGACAACACTGATGAGGAAAACGCTACCCTAAATTGGCTGGGAAGGCAAATTAATTTGCATCCTGGAAGGAGAAAGAAAAGACTGACTTTAACATTTCCATGTCAGAGTCTACTGTTCAACTTGCTAAGCTCTGAGCAGTAGTCACTTACCTCTAAGAAGGAAACTAGCACGTCATCTGACTTCCTGCCTCAAAGTGATTGTGTTTAAAGGTGAGTTAAAGCTTTGTATACTTTAAAATAAAAGCACTATGTGGAATTTTTTGACAGTAGGAAATAAAGCTTTTCATATATGATTAAACAACATGATTGGCCAGTTCAATCAAAGATTTTGTAATTTAATAAGCAGTTTGTTATTTGACCCATTTGGTTTAATCTCCTGACTACACACTGAGTTAAGAGCACGGAATTGTCCCATGGCCTAGACCACTGTGTAGCTCACATGTCATTGTTTTACCCTCTATTTACGCAATGCTTTTAAATGATAGAGAGCCAGGCAATGACGCAACTGGATTCGTACAGAAAAGGTCCTGAGTTCATATCCCAGGACCTTCCGGCTCAGAGCACTCCAGGAGCACGTGTGTCTGTGATTCAGATTGGCTGAGACGGGGGCTGGATCCTGGTGTGGACAATCTGTCGGGGGGCTGTCTGTCTCTCTCTCTCTCTCTGTTTTTGTCTCTCATGAAAGAAATTAATCAGTAAAAACTAGAACAGATAGACAACAAAACTTTACTACTTAATAAGCAAGTTCAACTAATACAGAAGCAGAGCAATGTACTGGCAATTAGACGACCAAAAGGTTTAAGGCCCAGAGCCCCCCAGCTTTGTCCAGAGCAGACTCACCACGCAGCTCTAGCCTGATAAAGTCTGTGATCCCCAAGTTCTCTACAAACACTCCAGAGGCAGCTGTCGTTTTGAAAAAGAAAGACACATCAGCACTGAGCTCTCCGCGGAAAGTAGGGAAGTGAAGGTATGAAGCCTTAGTATTAAAGGAAGCTGAATTCCAAAATGAATCTGTTTACAAAAAGGAAAAAGAAAAGACAAATGGTGAAAAATAATAAACAAACATTAATACTGAAAGCATTAATCATCTATGCAAGCTTTGACGGCATCAACCACCAAATAGTGATTATCTGATGATTAAGATTTTGGTCAAGGTAGCAGCTGAGGAGAGGGATGATCACGGTGGAAATGGCCTGTGTTTATTCAGAAAGTTTTATTTTATGTTATCATGGAGTGTAATGGTCTCTCTGGGGATGCAGTTATATGAATTTTAGCACATGCATGGATTTGTAACCATTACCACAATCAAGATAAAGGACAGTTCCATTGCACCAGAACTCCCTCTTACGCAATCCTACTGTAATCACAGCCTCCACCTTCGGTAGCCCTTGGCAAGCCCCCTCTGGCCTGTTTTGCCTTTTCCACCCCTCACCTACCTGGAGCCCTGGAGTGATGCCTTTTGAGTTGGTTTCTTTCACACAGCATAATGCCTCTGAGATCCATTCAAACTGCACTTGTAGTGACACTGGGTCCTTCGTAGGACTTCCTTCCAGCATGTGGATGTTTATTTATTCACGCTGAAGGACACTGGTGTGGCTTCCAGATTTGGGCAGCTTTGGCTGGAGTTGCTATAAGCATGTGTGCATAGATTTTCATAGGGACATAAATTTTTCATTTCTTTAGGGTAAATACCCAGGAGTAAAATTTCTGGGTCATATGGTAAATATATGTTTAACGTAATAAGAAATGGCCAGTCTTTCAGAGGGACTACACAATTTTTCATTCCCATCAACCATCTATAAGTGATGTAGTTGTTTTACGTCTATATCGGCACTTGGTATAATTAATATATGTATATATAGTATATAGGTATAAAATATATAATTAATATATATATATATAAAGATATAGGTATAGTTAATATGTATATATTTACATATATTTTATATATATATTTTTTTCCATTTTGGCAGTTCAAATTGGTGTATACTGGTATCACACTGTGGTTTTAACATGTCTTCCCTAACAGCTAATGTTGCTAAATATCTTTTCATGTGCTTATCTACTGTTTTTCAATCCTCTTCAGTGAATTATCTGTTCAATTTGGGAAGAAATGACTTCTATGTTGAGTTTTCCAGTCCGTGAACTCCGTGTGTCTTTCGATGTATTTTTCTTGATTATTTTCCTCAGCATTTAGTAATTTTGAGCTTACAGATCCTATATGTGTTTTATTGTATGGGTAGAAAGATGTTTTATTTTGTAGATTCCTTAAGGTTTTTTTGAAGACAACCATATTGGGTTGTCAGAAAAGTCATGGCATTTTTTTTCTATGTTTTTCTATACAAAATGTATCATGAGTTTTCCAGCAACACAAAATGTAAACACATCTGTGAATCAAGTTTTCTTTGTCTCTAATCTGCATGCACTTACTTAACTTTATTGTATTATTCACTGGCTAGGATTTCCAATATGACAGAAGTTGTCAAATACAAGAGGGGAGGTTGGATATTCTTGCCTTGTTCCATCTCAGGAAGAAAAATTTCAAACTCTTAACATTAATTATGATGACAGCTTTGTTTTGAGTAGATACCCAATATCAGGTTGAAAAAGCTCTGTTCTGTTCTTGGTTTGCTAAGAATTTGACTATAAATGCTATTGTGATATGAACTGTCACGTTGAATTAGTTAGGAGCACTCATGTGGCTGTGTCCGTACCAATCGGTACAGAAAAAGCATTTGATGTGATTTTTATTCTTTAGACTGCTAATATGGTGGACTGCATTGCTTGATTTTCAAATACTCAATGAGCCTTGCATTCCTGGGATAATCCTTAGCTATGCATGGTTCATTATTCTTTTAAATATTCCTGGATTCAATTTGATACTATTTTGTTTTCTGCATCTGCATTTGTGATAAATATTGGCTGTAGGTATCTTTTTTTTTTTTTTTTCACTTTCTCATCTAGTTTGGGTATCAGGGCAATGGTAGCCTCATTAAATTAGCTAGAAATAGTTTCCTCTTTGATTGGAGCTGAGAACTAGTGCTTTCAAGGACTAAGAGTAATGAAGATTTCTTGCTGAGACTTCACCCTCCGGACCCCATTCTCAAGTGTTAGGGCTCCCTGTGTCTTTCTGTCTTTCTCTGTCTTTTCATTTTTTTTTTAATTTTTCTTTCTTTAAAAATTTTTTAAGATAAAGTATTTTCTTGGCTCTCAGATCCTCCTTCCCCCCTCCCATTTAGGAGAGGCAAAAGTGCAGGCCTTCAGAAGACTCCTCCATTGGAGCTGAGAACTGGTGCCACGGTTTTCATGTTTTGTTTTATAAAAAATACATATTTTATTTCTTTATCTCTCTCTCTCTTTCTCTGTTTTCTTATCCTTTTTATTTTACCTTCATTACTTTGCTGCTCGGCCTCCACACACTGAGTGTCTAGACAGCCAAACACCTGTATATTATTAGGATCAACCTATTCTTCGATTCCCACTGAATCTGCTGCACAAAGAGAGAAAAACAGAACAGGAAAGAGATTGCAGATAACCTCCTGCATGCTTCTGACAACTCAGATTAAACCTCTAGAAAATAGAAAGAAACATATAACCTACCGGATGACCAGAAATCACCAGAGGTACAAGAAATATGAAAAACCAAGAAAATACCTCTCCCACAAGGGAAAAGAATAACTCTTCTTCATCCACAGACAATACAATGGAACTCACAGAAATGTCTAATAAAGAATTTTCATAGTGCCAAAGCTAACAGAGATACAAGAGAAGAGAGACATTGAACTCCGGAAGAGGCAGGAGAAAAGAGTCAATGATTTCCAGGAGGTGAGAAAGTTCTTACATGATCTGAAAGAGAAAATACACACCATAAAAAAGAATCACATGAAACTGTTACAGATGAAGGCTATAATACAGGAAGTAAAAACCTCCCTTGGAAGTATTAAAAGCAGGGAACCAGCAGTTAGCGTAATAGCTATGTCGCTGGACTCCCACATAGTCGACCGTGGTTCGCATCCCGGACTCAGTGGCTTAAAACTCATGCCGGGCACGTGTGCGTGCATGCCCAAGATACTGAGAGGAGAATGGAGAAGGGATTGCGGCATGACCATCCCCCCTGGGGGGTGATTTCTTGCTTTCTGTCTCTGTCTCTCTCTGTCTGTCTGGCAAGTGCACACGCGCTATAGCGAAAACCTCTCCAAAAAAAAAAAAGGCAGACTAGATCATACAGAGGATTGAATCTCAGATGTAGAAGACTGAACCACTGGGCTAGAAAAATCCACCATGGAGACTGAGAAAAGAGCTGAAAAAAAATGAGAATAATATACAAGAAATACTAGATATCATTAAATGTCCAAACATTCAGATAATCAGTATCCCAGAAGGTGAAGAGACCAATAAGGGTATTGATAATCTATTCCATGAAATCCTGTCCTGAGAAAGACATTCAAAGATTCAGACCCAAGAAATAAAGAGGACCCCAAATAGGACCAACCCAAGGAGCTGAAAAAAAATGAGAATAATATACAAGAAATACTAGATATCATTAAATGTCCAAACATTCAGATAATCAGTATCCCAGAAGGTGAAGAGACCAATAAGGGTATTGATAATCTATTCCATGAAATCCTGTCCTGAGAAAGACATTCAAAGATTCAGACCCAAGAAATAAAGAGGACCCCAAATAGGACCAACCCAAGAAGATCTTCTCCAAGACATATTATAGCCAGAATGACCATAACTACAGACAAAGACAATATACTAAGATTGGCAAGAGGGAAATGTCATGTTACCTACAAAGAATATCCCATCAGGCTAACAGCGGATCTCTCATCAGAAATACTGTGAGCAAGGAAATAATGGGAAAATATACTCAAAATGTCGAGTGAAAACCAATTTCAACCAAGAATATTATATCCGGCAAGATTATCCTTCATATGGGAGGAGAAGACAAGAACATTCTCAGATAAACAAAACCTGAAAGAATTTACTGACACCAGACCAGCTCTCCAAGAAGTTCTGAAGGGAATGCAATATAAGGAAAACTAAAGTCAGACACACAGAAATAAGAGTTCAAAAACAACTAAGAAAATGGCCAGCTTACTGGTAGGAACAAGTCCGGAGTCCAATGTTATCTTCCAGAATTTAAAAGGAAAGATCGGGTCACAACAAAAGATATGTAAGACTGAACTGGTAAGGCTGTGGGGTAGACTAGCAGCGGCTCAGACCCCACAGGGTGCCCCTGAGAGATTTAAGACTTCTTGGTTTCTAAGAAAATGCAGAAACATCACCAGAGCCTTCCGTACAGCTTTCTGTACACTCAGACACTCACAGTGACACCGTCCTGGCCAGTTTGGAAGATCAGAGGAAGAAAGGCTTCCTCTGTGACATTACTTTAATCGTGGAGAATGTGCATTTCTGTGCCCGCAAAGCTTTACTCGCTGCCAGTAGCGAGTACTTCTCAATGATGTTTGCCGAAGAGGGGGAGATCGGCCAGTCTATTTACATGCTCGAGGGCATGGTTGCAGACACCTTTGGTATCTTGCTGGAGTTTATCTACACAGGTTATCTCCATGCCAGTGAGAAAAGTACAGAACAGATCCTCGCTACTCCTCAGTTATTAAAAGTCTATGACCTAGTAAAGGCTTTCACAGACTTTCAACATACTCATAATTCCCCAAAGCCTGTGACTTTGAACACTGCTGGTGCTCCAGTGGTGGTTATTTCTAATAAAAAAAATGATCCTCCAAAGAGGAAACGGGGAAGACCAAGAAAAGTCAACAGTATGCAGGAGGGGAAGTCAGAACGGCTGCAGAGGAAGAAATACAATTAAGAGTGAACAATTCAGTTCAGAATAGACAGAATTTTGTATTTAAAGAAGGAGACAATGATGTTCTGAATGAACACATTCCAGTCAAAGAAAAGGAAGAAACTGAGCCTGCTTGTGAGCCGGGTAGAGTAGAGGAAATATTTGCCAGCTGAAAAAGATGAGAACCAGGATCCCAAGACCCAGG